TAGTTTAGTGTCAGCAATTTCAAATGAAACTAAATCAAATGCTTCCATTTGTGAGGCATAAATCATTCCTTCATTCACTAGTAGTGAAAGACTTAGATTTGTTCCAATTAATGTCAATGCTTCAACTGTTGCTTCATAATTTGAATTTTCATTTTCTCTCGTGCTATTAACAGCAGATATGGAATCAAGTATATCATTTTGAACTGCAGACAGTGACAAATTGAGTTGCTCTAGATAGCTAATTATGGATCTTTGGAGGTCACAGTTACTTTTGAATATATCAGTCAATAATACTGAACTAGGGACACTTCTTCTCTTTCTTAGTGACTCTCCTATCACATTATCAATGATGTCATCATATATATTATCGTAAATTGTTTTTTTCACGAGATCATCTGTAGCTGATATATCAACTACTATTCTTACTTCATGAGTTGTCCTACGACTTGTTATTTCATAAATCACATTAAGAGGAACAATTACTGGGGTCTGTGTTTCTAACGTAACATCAAATGATACATCAGTTATTTTTATTATTGAGTTAACTTTGTCTTGTAATGCATCACGGAATGATAAGATCCTTTCATTACTGGCCTTGATTGATTGATAGCTTTTATTGGCAACTCTTTCACTTTCCTGTGCTGATTGAATTTTGCTATCAGTGGCCTTTATTTCTTCTATTGTTGAGATATTCTTTAATTGTAAAACTGCAATTTCAGAGCTGAGGTTTACAAGTTGGCTGAGAACCAGCTTGTAAAAATAGTGTCTCATATTTATGTCAAAAAGTAACTCTTCATTTTCTTCATTAAAATTTTCAATAATTTTTGTACGATTGTCATAACATTCTTCATTTTTTGCATTGCACACAGGATCTACTTCATGTACTGCACAGGATGAATCGTATTTGCAAGTTTTATTATTATAACCTTTGACAACTTTTCCAGGACATTGCCCCACCTTTAGTACAGTACCTATATGAAATATAGGTTGCCAATCAGTGTCATAAATTGTTTTTTTATTGCAACGTGGTTTTCTGGAATTCAATAAACCAATAGGTGTCCAAAAATTCACGGCTTCATCAAAGGAATTTGTACTATAAGTACATATATCTACTGGAATTTTTCTTTCCTTGTGGATAGTGACTACTTGTTGTTCATAGTAGGTACAACTTCTGGTTACTTTCATGGTAACAGGAACAAAACATAATGTGAGAACTGGCCCACTTTTACAGGCCCTTTCACACTCTGTTATTTGGCAAATACTTTCTATTGAACCAGATAATTCATCTGTTGCATTCCAATAAGTTTCCAAAGTATGATAAAGAATAGCTTCATGCAGATCCCGTTGCTCCTCAATCCTAACTTTTCTTTTCTCATTATTATCAAGAGATGTCTGGGTATCATATAGTTCATCATATAATTTTCGGAGTTTTTGCTTTAAGTTTAAAACTTGTTTGCTAGCTGATTTAAGTGCATCATTAGCAGAATCAATATGCTGAACAGCATCTTCAATTTCGTCTCTAAGCTCAGTATTGAGATAGGTTGTTAACTCACTTGTAAAATCATTTGTAAAAACAACTTGAAGCATGATTTGTAACGATTCCCATGATCTGTCAGTATTACCTCTTCCTGATACATCAGTGTTTCCAAGATAAAACAATTTAAGAGAAGATCTAAATTGGATTCCATCTTCATTAATCTGCACACGTGTCATCATTTGAGTATCAAAAAGAGAAATATTAACAAACGGTAGCACACAAAAGATATCATCATCATCAGAAAATAATATTGCCTGAAGATCAGGATATCTTGAATCAGAATTGGGCAGCATTGTAATAAAGTTTCCAATCGTAACTTCATTTTCTATTTTTGATTGTAATGTTACTGTACTTATCCTGTTAGGAATAATTCCTATATTTTGTGGATATAACGTGAGTTTAAGTGGAAGGTCACTGAATTCAAGCTCTTTAATACGAAATACTAAGCAGCTGCTAAGTATTGATACACTGTTGATATGATCAAAATTATTGAATTGAAAATGTGCCTTGACAAGACATGGCTCTGTTGATTTTAGTTGAATGTATTTACTGTAAGTACCATTAGTTTGCAATGGTGATAAATAAAGATCAATTTCAAGCCCAGGTTTTGAGTCACTGCCACAATTAGTACCTGTAAAGAATAAATACAATAAAAAAATTCAAGGGTCTTACATAGTGAAAATCTATACCTTTTGTTACATACAAGCCCACTTGGCTATTGCTTGTGGCCAAATGTAATACTGAATGCTGTTGGGCTGTGATCAAACCAGTTTTTATTTCAACATTCATTTTACCTTCAACTGTATGTGGTATCTATTAAAAAGATATAGATATAGCTAAAATTAATATGTTACTCACAGCTTGACATAATTCATAATGATCCTCAGCTTCAGTTATAGTTCCACGAAAACTAAATTGAAGTTGCAAATATTGCTCCTGAAAATCTCCAGAAATTGTCATTTCAGCTTTTAGCTTATAGTTTGGTTGCATAATAGCTGTAAAAATATTTCCATCCCAATATGTGACATTTTTTCTTGTTGATAGTCCATAATGTGATGCTTCGATTGATTTTATATCAATTTTCCAATCTTCTTGTTTTAATTCGTTAAAGATGGTGAGGTTTTGAATTTGTTTGTTTAGTTGAGGAGGAACAGAAATAAAGAGAGTTCTTTTATCACAAAGTGGATACAGAAAACAAACTGTTTCAGATGAAGCATACGATTGCTTATCATTGTTGTAGATAAATTGAAGGCCAGAGCTAGTAGTAATAACATAGTAGAGATCAGTGTTAGTTGTATCAATAGGTATATTAGGACACTCCAGTAAACTAGAAAGCTCATACTCAGGTACTATTTTTGCCAAGTAGTCACCAGTAGAGTAATAGTTTATGTTAGATTCATCATCAGCCTCAATAGTAAGATGTTGTGGTAGTATGGGTCCCATTGCTGATAGAAAAGTGTTGATCATTGATAGTCGTTTAACCATGTCACGTACATCTTCCATTCTTTGAGGAGGAGTTGAAGTACAATCAAGTGCTCTAGCACAAGGTGGACATGACAGACCAGGTCGAGTGAAATCTGTAGTAAGTCCTTCATCTGATAGTCGTAAACTCACTCCAATTATTGAAACAGGTAAAGACAGTCTACCGACAGAAACAAATATAATACCATTTGATGTATACTCGTTGTTTTGGCCCATCCATGCACATGTTGACGTAAATGTTACTGATTGCCTTGGCCTTCCAGTACAGAATCTTGTAGTTAAGTCAGTATCATGCTTGCAGCATCCTTTAGTGAGCACACCATTGCTATCACCTACTCTGAAATACTTACCAGTTGCCTTTTCATCTGAAGCAATTGTTACTCTATCATCAATAGTAGTGATTTGTTCACCTTCATTACTCACTCTTAGTTTCAATCGAATAAAATTATTTTGAGATGATTCGAGATAGAAAGTAGAGACATTGTCAGGATGCTCAATTGTGATTTGATCACTTGGAATAATAGCCACAGGAGGTTCAGTAGTAATGCTAACAGTAACAGAAGACTGAGGAGAGGCATAAATAGAAATGGGAGATGAACGCTCATTATTATTTAATAATGGTAAATCTGATATGGTAACACTAAGTGTACCACAATACTTCCCTACATACCCATCAGGACACACACAGTATGGTTCATTACTATCTGTTTTAAAGCAAGTGCCAGTTAGACAAGGACTAGGATCACAGGCAGACGTTTCTATTTAATGCCAAAATAAAATCAATGTATGACTGGAAAATATCTACATACCTTTACAATCTTTTAGTGCTGTCCAAAAAGCTACCCCGTCTGTAACAGTACACACTTGATTGTAAATAGCATCACCAGATTCAATGAAATATCCAGGAACACAACTAAAGAAGCAGGTTGAATTAACACTAGTCTGACAGGACTGAAGCTGGACACTGTTCGGTAGTGTTTGTATCTCAGGACATTTTTTTATTTGACAATCAGTGTTAGTTCCATTCCAAATGGTATCAGTGCCACATAATCTAACAGATGAACCAAACAAATCATATTCATCTTTACATGTAAATGAACATGTACTATTAACAACCACTGGATAATCTGAACACTGCATGTATCCATTAACAGGAGCAATGAGAGTAGGGCAAGGTAATGCTACAAGTGTATGAGTAAAATAAATCAATTATTATGAAACCTAACCTTCACAACTGTGGCCATTACTAGACAATGCATAACCAGCCTCTCTGTCACAGGAACAAGAATAGCTCCCAATTGTGTTATTACATGTTTGCTCACAGCCTCCATTATTAGTCAAGCATTCATTTATGTCTGAAACAAAATAATTATATTTATGTATATTATTTATACTACATTACCTTCACAAGTATGATTGTTGTGATGGAGGGAGTAGCCGGGGTGACAGGAACAAGAATATTTCCCATTTTCACAATGTAAGTTTGTACATTCATGATCACAATTATTCAAAAGTGTGTCGTTACATTCATCAACATCTATGATCAAGCATTTCAAAAAGGAAATATCAAAATTGCTAACCACCTTCACAAGAAACTCCATTGCTTGCTAGTTCACATCCTAAATCACACCCACACTTATAAGAACCTAAAGTATTTTTACATTTTTGAGCACAATTATCAGTTCCTTCTTCGCATTCATTGATATCTGAGTATGTACACATTATTATGTTAGTGTCACAAATATATATAAGTAATACATACCATCACATTTCCTGAGGTTAATTATATTGTTAGTGTAACCCTCATTACATGAGCATAAATAGTATCCTGGGTAATTGGTACAATTTTGTTCACAATCATTAAGCCTCCTTGCACATTCATCAATATCTAAATAAACATAAAATGCAACACTGAAACTCCTGAAAGATAAAATAATTATGATTAAAAGTTGATCGATTGAACTATCTGCAGAGTCAGTATAGACATAATTTAATAAATGCAGCTTACCGTATAGTGCTTTAATTTGGTGGAGTTTTATTTTGGCGATTGGCAGTTTACAAGCAGAATTGTCAATATTAAAACCGCCAATCATTAAATGCGCATGCTCAGTAATGCACGTGTACACAAAAATCGCCAAATTAAAAATCGCCAATTACAATTTTACAGCAAAATTGCCGAAATAAAGTGCCGCCAAAATAAAGTGTTATACGGTATATCCAATGTTTCCACTCAGTGCCTAGCTCTAATCTGCACCGTACTGTATAGCCAAAAAATTTCGTTAGGAATAAATTTTCGTATTTTCGTGATCACTGTTTGCCTCACAAAAAATTAAACTCCCAAAAATAAATATTAATTGAGAGGCGTGGTTAACCACACCTTAATAACAAATGTGCCCTCGTGTCACGGTCAAGCTGATGTCTCTGTTACTCTGTATTGCTAGCAAATTTAAGCATACTGCCAAGGTCAAAGATGATGATCTTCCCAATCACTGGTGTCCACACTAATTTGTAGACATGATACCCCTGACACAAGAGTCCATCTAAAACATTGAATCTACCATGTTTTAATTAAATAAGGCGTGGTCATTATTATTATTATTATTAAAATAAAATCATGAGCAGAATTTAAAATTTCTCCATAAATTTCATTATTCACAAAATTTTAAGCCTCGAAAATTTTTGGCTATTATGGTATCAATTTTCAGCATAAAAAACATTCTCGAGTATTTGCCTCAAGACTAAAAAAAATCATCAGAAATAGACCAGCCCCAGTTACCAGTAGTTTATTCTTGAGAATTCCATTTGTTATCACTGTATCACAGGCTGACACTATTTCTCACTCTGTTTTGGCCCATTTTCTCACCTCTAACCCTGAGGTCTCATGTACAGTAGCATGCATTATGGTAATACACACAATGGAATGGGTTCATTATTGTTATAAGTCATAATTTGGGCACAAGGTCCTTGTGACAACATCACAGCAGTATTTATAGCACTTCAAAAACTTAAATAAAAGGGATTCACAGTTCTCAGTTACAAATCTACATGTTTGTTACCCTGGTATTACCTATGCATCTTTTAGGATTCCATGCTGGTGTTTCATAGCCTCGTCCACAGTGGCATGTAAATGACCCTTTTGTATTGTGACAGTTTCCATTTGATCCACATGTATGACTACCGTCAGCACATTCATCCCTATCTATAATACAAAATGTGAGTTGAATCGTAAAATATTAGGTTAATATACCAATGCAGCTTCTTCCATCATATGCTAGTATATATCCATTAGGACAAGCACATCTATATGATCCTATTGTATTATGACACACTGATGGAGACTGACAATTGTCCAAGTTTTCAGCACATTCATTGATATCTATTATATTACAATACTTAATATATATCTATACATAGCCATACCAAATTGACAATAGTGTCCCCTAAAACCAGAAGGACATGAACAATAGTTAGTTCCTGAAGATCTATAACAGTTTCCACCATTAGCACATGCTGGATTACATCTTGCTACAATACACAATTATTGTTATTATTATATTTTATAAATGCATACGTGTGCAATAAGGTGAAATCCCTTGGTATCCAGGACAGCACACTGAATAGCTAGATGTGACAGTAACAGTTGAATAAGTTGTTTCTTGACTGTATGTGTATCTGTATTAGGGAGAAATTAACATTTAAAATATTACCCAATAAACCTGGTACATCTTTGCCAACCAAACCAACCACACCAGTAGCCATGTGAATGTCGATATGTTTTTGTCGTTGCCTTTACTGCTGTTTGATATCTTGTGTCATAACATCTATGAAATTTATATCGTGATAGCACATGCCGCAGCGGCCGACGTAATCATCATACTTACATTTGACAAAAAACTGAAGGATATAAAAGCAATAGTAAAACTACAACGCAACTTCCAGTTTTAAAGATCATTTCTTGAGTCTTTCTAGAGTGAACTTAGTGAAGCCAGCTTCTCCAAGTCGCACTGTGTGTTTTATTAAGCTCGGTAGATGTGTTTTAAAGCCTTTCCATCCAACTTCCGTTTGGGGGCCTGGACAAAGAGTTGATGGGATATTTATTATGAAAAATCATCACGTGAAAGCATGCAAATTATTAGCTAGCTAGTCTTGCTCAGTACTGGTTAATTCTTTAATTATCTTCTTACCACCTGCAACCTTAGCACCAGCCAACTAATGGAGAGAGAGGGGGGAGGGAGGGAGAGAGAGGGGAGAGAGAGGGGGGAGGGAGGGAGAGAGAGGGGAGAGAGGGAGAGAGGGAGAGAGGGAGAGAGGGAGAGAGGGAGAGAGGGAGAGAGGGAGAGAGGGAGAGAGGGAGAGAGGGAGAGAGAGGGAGAGAGAGAGAGAGAGAGAGAGAGAGAGAGAGAGAGAGAGAGAGAGAGAGAGAGAGAGAGAGAGAGAGAGAGAGAGAGGGAGAGAGAGAGAGAGAGAGAGAGAGGGAGGGAAAGAAGAAATAAAAATGAATAAAGGAGGATGAAAACAGAAAAGAAATAGCGGGATAGAAAGAGAATGAAGAAAGGAAAACATATCCTACATGCAATGATTCACATGGCCTAGTATCATCATCAATTCTCCGTCATTCCATTTTAGTTGATTCTTTTTGAAATTGTTGCATTGTCCGTTGAATGTCTTCAAGTTTCACTTGTTTGTTCATTGATGCCATTGCCTTTAATGTCCTTTGTCATAGCAACCTGGGACTGCATTGCCTACAATATCACATGAAAATCACATGACAAGATATTAGCATGTGCATATTAACTATTACATAAAACAAAAGATTGCGCTAATTGAGTAAGCATATTGGATGCTTACATAATTATTGTGTTGCATGCAAGCAAGACATTTTTGAAAACCTAAATGGTTCAATAATACTATCCCACAAATAAACCACGAAATAAACTAGGAGGACCTAATGTACAATGTAGGGAGGGCTTTATTATTATAATGGGGAGGAAAAGTAGCAAGGTACAATGCACCTCAATAGAAAGGCAGGGCTTTCACATGACCTTGAATAAAATGCATACATCATAAGCACCTACCAGTGACATTAATAACAGTAACACTTTTTTTAAATTGTGCACAACAAAACATATAGATATAAATAGATACAGATAGACAAAACACAGAAACACAATGATAAGTACATGTATAAAGCTGCACATGTGCGAAGGCTATACATGTATATCCAGCTACTAGTATTGTACATGTACTCTGATTTCATGTGGAATATGCATGTATGAAAGAAATTAAATGTCACAGAACAAGGTGTGTAAGTTTTTGAGTTGGTTTGAGCTCATTTCAATGAGTACTATGGGCTATTCTTTAAATACGAAAATTTGTATAAAAGCCATAAGCTATAATATTCATAAAATTTCAATAAAACTGATACACATAGTGCTACAAGTATGCAGAAAATTGAACTCATTTTAACCAAGTATCATAATTTGGTAAGGTAATACTGTATATTTCATGAGGATTTGATTTCGCTAATTTTGCGGTTTTTAAAAATTCATAAAAAATTATATTTATGAAAATTATTCTTTAATCATGCTACAAAAATTTTTTCCTGTGAATAGGTTAAAAGGTGATTTCGTGAAATATTTTTCCCAGGAAAATGTACCCTCTATACGGTAATCCACATAAATTAATTAGATCTACCAATAATTAATTACTTATTAGTATAATTATCATTATTAAGGTAGGAACAAAAAATTCTGCTGTCACAATAAACGACATCCTTGGCATTCCTTGCAGTATGTACATGTACTTGGTACTCTATGATAATTACGCATAATTATTAATAATTTGTGTGATACATAACAAGGTCATATAGCAACTAGTAAAGAAAGCCTCTTTGGAGCATGGAAAGTCATTATACACATGAACATGTACTGTACATGTACAGAATAAACTATAAAACTTTAATTGTAGTATTATCACAGTGAGTAGGAAATAGTACATCAAAAGAAAATGGGTTGAGCTTTCACACAATCTAAAGAAACAGCTCTGAATGAAGGAAAAGGACCACTATCACTCACTCCAGAATGAGATATGATAACGGCTTACATGTACAATGAGCTGATCCCAAAAAAAACATGCATTCACAGAATAATCAATCTAATACATGTACAGTAATTTTTGTAAGTCAGCGAAGCAAATTAATATAAAAATTACCAATTTTAACTATGAAGACTTACATGTAAGTTACTTATTATCTGACTGTCATAAATTCTACAGTATGCACTGAATTATTGCACATACATGTACATGTATACATAATTACTTGTTCTTGATACTATAATACAAGTATACTAGAAGAATATAGAACATTAAAGGGGTGAGCCTAAGCAAGTTATAGATTATGTGCTGTATGATCTACATGTATGAGCAAGCAAACCAATTCCACAAGAGCTCCCTATGACGACAATTATGAGCTTCATTGGGAGCTTCTTCTTGACTCATAGTTCACTTATATTCACTGTGCTTCACTTGTTGTTAAAACACGTTGGGACATAGTGAAGATGATGCAAAAGCTGGATATAATGGCTAGTTACGCACGTGAGCAGCATCATAGATCTAGTCTAGTTAGCTTATTTAACTTTAATAATAGTTAGACGGTCCTATGCCATGCATACAAACAAACGCTTTCTCACCTCTGCAGTGGGGCGAGCTCAGGCTCGACCTAATTATTTGATTATAATACTGTGATGGACTTGCCATTGCACAATGTACATATGAAAGTGACATACTTTCATTTGGTGTCCTGTTGCTGTAATGGTAGCACTCAGTCCATAAGATTTAGTTTTCTGTTGTCTTAGTTTAACTAACTGCTTAGCTAATACAGTAGCTGTCTGGAGGGAGAGAGAAAAAGAGAGAGAAAGAGAGAGAGAAAGGGGTACGGTTTCCTATAGTTATTTATGGTTACCATAGTTTTTTACAAAAATGGCTCAAAAATTACGCCCTCCCCAAATTTTAATTACATTTTCTGATAAAATAGTTTTATCTAATATCTTTCGATTCATGATCATTTATAATAATTAGCCAATTTTTGGAAATATGCAAAAGTTATAACTTAATGTTGTTTTCAATAAATGGCTCCAAAATCAACCAAAATTTTTATCATATAAATTTTCTGATACATGATGATATCCTTATGCTGTGTAGCAAGTTTGAGCTGTTTCTGACAAATAATTCTGGAGTTATGGCCATTTTTAAAAGTATCAAATTTCTAAAAAAAGAAAGATGCAAAGCCCATGGTTTTGGGAAAAACACACCAGTATCAAATTTCTAAAAAAAAGCAAAGCCCATGGTTTTTTTCAAAAATTGTCCTCCTCCAATTTTTATGTTGATCTACTTTTATATAGATGTAGCGGAAAGTTTGAGCTCATCATCAGTTTTACTTGAATTATATCATATATATTTAAACCATTCATGAATAATTCTGTTTGACGTTAATGATATGAATGAGGTGTCCAAATGCTATGGGAGACGCTACATGCAAGCCATTCAACAGAATACCACAAGTGTACATTTGATTGAGCCTAATTAACCACTTGTCATAACTATGTCTCAATGAATATGTTTAAAACAGATAAACACCTCCTATGAGGCGTTCATGGAATTTGTAAACCTCAGTTTCCAAATTCCATAAACACCTCATAGGAAGTGTTTCTCCATTATTTAAGCCCACCTCCCTAATCTATTATGCCCATGCATTAAGTATATCTATATAACATTTAAAGATACACTAACCTTGTACTGGGAACTGCTTGAAGTAATAAGCTTAGGATAAGCATTCATTACCTCGACAGAAATACATTTAACAGCCAAACTGAGCAACCATACTTTGCAGCTAACCACGCCCTTTTTTATTAATTTTGCAATTATTGTGCTGCTTACATCTGCTCAATTCAACTGAATGAATGTGATAACTGAATATACTAGATTTTTTTCACATTTTCTTGTCGTATTGAATTTTATGGACCGTTAGTCTGCCACAAATGTATCCACATTCTACAGTAGCTGATAGTGATCAGAGTTGATGACGGTACAATACAGTTCTAGTACATACTGCATGCACATAAATGGAGTAGTTTCTCTCAAAACTTACAAAAACAAATAAATTGCAAAAAACAGTCACTAAAATAAAGTAGCTAAACAAGGTAATTGAGTACATTCTTATTTAGTTCAATAATAACTAATAAGTTCCAGTTATCATCTCATGGATTATCCATTAGAGCACTTGTATTCCCAACAGTGGAAGTTT